GACTGCGTTACTGCCGCTGCCGCTAATATTGTGACTGTTGGCCCCTGTCCCCGTGGTTGGCGTGGCGTTTACCGTAACGGAGTTGGTCATGGTATGCATTCCGGGCACATCAGTCCGACAGCTCCGGTTCTGTGTCTATTTCAATGCAGAAGATGGAGAGTGTGAGTGAGGGGGAAAGGATGCGGGACGAATTCTGATAGAGAAGATGAACAAAAGCAGATGGTTAGACAATCATACACATTATCTATGTATGGTGGGTTTAACCAGACCGTATCACATTCACTAGCCGAAGATGTACTACTCATCTGTTTAACCCCGACCTCGACCTCGTATGAAAAAAACAAGTGAGGTGAAGCAGACCAATCAATGCAGAGAGCGACGGTCGATTAACAATGGCAAAGAACTAAAACTAAGTGAATTCTCTGACTATGTCCTTAACTGATCTCTCTAGAAATATAGTGTGTCATCGCAAATGTGCTCACATGCATATGTGAAAAAGTATTGAATAGATTGAGTGAGTGGCTCATGAGGAGAGCCAACGAAAAGTGACCTAACCCTTGGTTGATTAGATTTTTCAAACCATATGGTTGATTGGTAGTACGAAATGCGGGGATGATCGATTTGAGAGTGTAATTCTGTTGTTCGCGTGCCAGTTATATCTGCGTTTTTTGTACTGTTGTACTGTTTGAAAACAGAGCTCACCAGAACTGCACCCCAACCACCAGCCTTGAACAGGCATTCATGCGCGTACAGGTGATAGTTAAGTCGAGTGAATGACAATTTTAGTTAAATTTAGATATACAGAGCTCATTCCAGCGAAAATTTCAAATGATTTCAAAGTTAAGCTTCAATAAATGATGACCAAATCGTAAATAAATGGAAGACGTGTCAAACAGTAGACGTAGTGAAATGTCGCGGACTCATTTATCAACAGAAAGACTAATGGATGGACAGACATACAGAGAAAATGAAAAGATCCAAGAATGATCACATTCCAAATGAGTGGAATATTATAGTAATCACTAATTCAACTTTGTCTATGAAATCCAAATAAAAACTGTGGTTCAGTGTGTAGGTTCATAGAGATCAGCTACTTAATCTAAGGTTCAGGACACGTGGGCAAATCCATGGTGATTCAAAAACATTTACGCTTCCATGAATCTGTAAAGTATATTAGTGAGAATAAATGCGTGAAAATTATGCCTTTCGAGAGACTGACCCGTGGACAAAAATACAAAGCGCGCATAGCGGAAGAATAAAAAGGCAACTAGCAGGCCATCACAAGAAAAACAACGGATAACAGATAGTGCACACCAAGCCGTCGTCTCAAGTGAACGCTTATTCCCTTATTCCCAGGCTCTGATTGTAAGCTAAGTTTGTATGAAAGAATCTGAGAAATGAAATGGGGAAAAAGTCCGATCATTTAGCCTGGGAAATGCAAACTGAATTTTTATGTTGATGGATTGGAAAAAATCATGAAAAAGTCATCAACCCGATATACTCACTTTCTGCCGGCCACCCAGATTTCGTTGACCAGTGTTGATGTGTCGGCTTGTCAAGCGCCCGCCGGATAATCCAAAACGATTACCCTTAGACGCTCCAGCAATTGCCCGAGAAGTTCGGGTACTATTAAAAGCACGACGTGTAGCGAAACCCCGTGCACTTCGACGTCGACCAGAATGCATCCATTCGACATCATCATCTAGCTCCTCCTCCATTTCTGCATCCTCATCTCCATCGGCGTCCGCTGCCTGATCATCCTCATCCTCAGTTTCCACATCGGGCTCAATTTCGTAAGATTTTGTCCCGGTGCGCGTGCCACTTACCAATCCACCGGTTCCCGAATGCACAGATTGCGTTTCATCGTCTGTCCGCATTTCTTCCTCTGGACAAACTTGTGCAACACCGGAGCGGCGTATTACACCGGATGTGACGGCTCCTGTCTCGTTCGAGTGACCGGAATCTTCACCACCACTAACGACTACAACAAGTGATGCATTGCTTTCGTCCTGATGGGTTGTATTGCTACGAGAACGAAGAAGTGAGCCATCACACATAGTTGTCATGTCCTCAACCAATTCCGCGTCCTCTTCAGTATTACTAACCCCGATACGGGAATGCAGCTTCCGGCCCAAGTCTACAGTCGTTATTTCCGCCACCATATTAGGCAACCGCTTAGAACTGACCGTGCCTAAGCTGGCTGACGTTCTGCCACAACCACCGGTGCCACTACCAGTCACATTGCTCGCAGATGAATTGGTTACATTGGCGGAAGAATTTACGGTTCCACTAAATGACCCATTTTGATGAGGTGTTGGACCTTGCTTGGGCATGGCGGAATCCAAACTGTTGGCTAAGAGAGGTGGAATGGGGAGACCAGCGATCGTGTACGCCCGCTTGGTCACAACGGGAACTGAGAAGTGGGGGCGAAACGGAGTGAGTGAAAACAAATGAAAATACAAAACTTGTCTATATTTAAATCCAAGATCCATTTCCAATTATAGTGATAGATGACGGAGTAGTAGATAAGCGTCTGGACTATTAAAGCTAAACCACAGGTCACTGATGTTTTAAGACACCTCAGGGAATGCGTTAACATTATTGGTAGGACTAACCCAGCTCAAAATTCAACAAATTACAGACAGCCACCCACGACTGCATTCAACACAAGGGAGTAGTGAAGGATTGAATTCGATTGTCTGATGAACGTTGTACCTCGGTTAAGTAAAGAAATAACGTCGCGTGATTGAACCTGCCTGTTGCACTTCTTACATTCGCTAACATATTTCGTTTAATTGAGTACATTTCTTCAATTTTGGAATGACCCTAGTTTTAAACCATAACATGATTCGTGGAACTCATGGAAGATTCCATTCTCGGATTACTGTAGACTTTCACAGTGAAACTTACGAATATGTTCTTTGTGAAATTACAAGGTTTTAAGTCTTGATGCTTGAGGCAGGCAATTCTTCAACGCAGGTAAGCTACAAGAACGACCAATGAGGGACGCCATTACCCCATTCGACAAATCTTTGGGTAAATGTGAAAATACATACGTAGCTCAAATCCAGTCGAAGATTGGGTGTGCTCCGAGCAAACCGGTAATTACTCCAAAAATTCTGACTTTCTGACCTTCCTTGTCAATTCCAGTTGCACTAAAACAGCTATTACTTCTTTTGAACCGGTTACGCCCTTCGCCTCCAAAAGCCTCAGTATGGTTGGGGGTGGGTGTCTAGGGTTGTGGCTGGTCATCCTTCTCTTGCACCTCGCGAAACGCTCGCATACGACCAAGCGTCTCAAATAGCCTCTTCTGAGGAAGCCGAACTCACTACCTTCTCGTGGCGGAGATGTTTTCCCACCAAAGTGAGAGGACGAAAAGCCGACATCCGTGGCTATAACGGGGTTGGTGAACCCCTGTAGTTCACCCAGGGGAGTTGAAAAAACCCTGGATTCCAAACAAATCAAGAGGTGGCGTGCGAACCACACCCACACCTCCCCGGTTGTAACAGTGGTCATGGGCTTGATTGGGCATCGAGGAGTATTGGGCACCATGGAAGTTTGACCCCGTCTAAAAGGCGTATGATCCGACGAACTGGACACCAATGGATTACGGTTTTCGCACACTACCCCGCTGCTTTGGCTAACCGAAGGCTCCGGTTGTGCATTCCTCAAGAAAATTCGCCTGCTTTCACTTGGGAAACCTGAAAGTATTCCGCTCACAACCAAATCATGGAACGTCTTTCTTTTTCATAAAGATAATTGTACCATAGTTTGTTTGGCACACAGTCTGGATTCAGACGTGTGTGAAAATAGAATATTATATATATGCCCTCCACCAATAATGATATCCTGCATTTTGTTGCGAAAAGGTCTCATCGTACGGTTTGTCGTTCGAAAACTCTCGATGAGACGGGAAAATGAAAATTGGCAGGTAAATCTAGAGGAAATTAAATCTGGTTCTTCCGTCAATTGAGGTTCAGCGGAATGAAAAAAGTTACAAGTATGTGGCTCTAAATTAGCTCACCGAGATGCCAATCACAGTTTGTCGGAAAGGAAGAGTTTATGAGCCCAGGCTTGGAACATCATTTCAAATAGAAAATTTACACTAAACAAAAAGTTGTAAATGAAAATGTCTTTTAACTTCGTTTTTTATGTATTGAATATGCAAATGTGCAATCAAGTTATACATGGTCAGATCGTTCAACAGTGAATGCAAGATGGAATCGTATGTCGATATTACAAACATCAGCAGTCGGATCGAGCTCGTCTGAATACAACACTAACTACGATAAAGGAGAACCTTCAGGGACTCCACTTAGGGGGTAAGGAATAACTCGAACATCCAGAAAAAAGCACTGGTCTGCTGTTCATATCCGGAAGACATTATTGTCACTACAAAAGTAATCGCAGTTTCATGATTATCTGTCAGTATCAGCTTCATTTTCTATAACCATTGACCATCACCGCCGGTTTTGGCTGCTGTCTTGTGGTCGACCATAAGGATAAAAGGACAGAATGAAGATTTGAATGTTGACAGCTGAATAAAAGAGAAGATAGAGAATATATATAGAATGCGGTCGCAAGGACATTGATAACACTCATGACCACCACTGCTTGCTACGTCCAGCGATATCACTCAACGTCTCTAACCATGACTAAAATATGATTGCAAAATGCTGGAGCGTCCACAGAGGATGGCTGCCAAAATGATTAAGGGATTCAATCGCTAGTCATACGCAGAGGGACCGAAGTCGTCGGGGTTATATTGCAATCACTACCGGCGCATCAGAGACATGATTATGGCATACCAAATAATGCAAAACCCAAACCATCCGTGTCATTCGCTGCTAAAATTATTACCCAACGTCCTATAGGATATTTGTTCAAACCAGTGTGCTCAAAATGCCGATTGGAATGTCGGCGTCAGTCATTCGCAGTCAGAGTGTGTTCGATATGGAGCTCTCTCCCACCCCACGTCATCTGTGCGCCAAGCATTGAATCTTTCAAACTGAGACTTGATGACGCACTAACACCAACATAAGTGAAGCTGCGTGCAGCAGTGGAAGAAGCACGTATCATGTAACATTTTACACAAGGAATTGTATGTATCNATCACTGTTTTTTAACCACAACACGAACCTATGGGACGAGGAAAGCATGAGCTTGTAAGTTATTCCCATAATGAAAACTTTGAACTTTGAACCACCGGTTATCATGATCTCGGGATGCTCATCCAAGGAGCCTAACGGTGCCTATGTAACCAGGTGTTCTGTTTGGGTTTTCAAACCCTC